AGTGCAAAATAAGTGAAAATCACTTTAAATTAAGTAATCCACGGAAGCTTAAAAAACGTCGTAACAGGACTCGAACATACGTCGATCCGGAATTGTAAACAGAGGATGAAGCGCTTTACCAACTGAACCAAATCAATTTTATGTTTAAATTTGAATAAGATAATATATATTAACTATTTAATCACACAATTTCGTAAAATTTCGGGCCCTATTTTTTCCCTGTAAATAAGAAATCATCGGCAATTCTTTAATGGCTGGCAATTCTTTAATGGCTTTACATGCTGCAATCCTTCACTTGTTAGTTGAGAAGTTGATTAGTTTATCGACACCAATTGTCTCCGACCTGCAACAAAAACACAACAATTACACAATTAGCCTTACCTATCTTAAAATATTTTATAAATCCCCTTTCATCAGTTAAAGAAAATATAAAGGAACTGGAAAGGTCACCAGATCAGAGAGTGCAGCCAGTATTAAAGCCCATGAAATATCATCATCCACATAAATCAACAAATAATTAAGCATCTGAAATACATAAATAAATAAAAGTCAAGATTATTGTCCGGAAATAATTATATAAGATTGCAGTGTTGAAACTTAAAAACACTCACTCACATTGCATTTTTCTTCACTTCTGAAACCTATTTGTAAAAGAAAAATTTATTAATGAATATATTTTATAAATATAAATTATGGAAATAAGTGAATAAGTAAAAAATAATTTAGTACCAAACTGAAGAACAACCATCCCTGGCATCAATGGATTTTCTAAGCTGGACTACATCCTTCGTTATAATTCCCTGTCATTCCCAAAAATATTCAACTTTTTTTTATATATATGTTTCTTTTTATTTGCTATAAAAAAATGAAAATAATTTCATACCAAGTCTTCTGCTATGATGATAATCTTCCCAAAAGTTCTACAAATTGTATCGAATAAAGATCTTCCCACCTACTATCAACAAAAAATTCACTTAGAGAGTTTGTTGTACTGCAAGGGTAAAATAGTCATTTCATGTATACAATAATGTATCCACACAGACATCATCGCCTTCCATCTACCAAGAGTGTGAATTCTTTGCTTCTGCAAAACAAAAATCTTACTGTATTATTATAAGATGGATCAATTAAAGAATAGTTGTTTAATTTCACTTACAAAATGACATGAGGATAAAAAAATTAACTTTCTTATTATTTATAAAAACTCACCAGAAGGAACAGCCCAAAAGCCACAAAATCTCCTGTATATGATGCAAAATCCATCCACACCACAAATACTTGGTTTTTACAAAATAAAAACCACACCATTGTTTAGTTATTAGGTTGTTGTTTTTATTTCAGTTTTCCGGTTTGCACTCTTAATTATAACCCTTTAATTTGAACATAACTCCAACTAATTACCCTTCAAATCTTACGAATATATACTTCAAATTTACTTTTATGTATTTAGAATATACCGTTTAACTTCCAAATTATACTGAGAACCAAATTTCATAGAACATAGAATATTTCTCAAAATAATATTTCACTAAACATAGATGTTTAGCGTACAAAGGTCGAGTTATTATATGATCGTCCTACATTTTGCATTGATTCTTAATTAACAAATTGAATTAATTTGTTGATATATCTTTCCACTAAACTCACATTATCATTTAAAGAATAGGGCATATGCTTTCGGAATCCCTTAAAGTCAAAATAATAGTTTTCTAGGCCATGTTGAATCTAAAGATGTTGCTTGAATTATTCATGATTGCAGTTTGTTGTAGGGATGTTCTCCACTTAATCAGCAAAAATAAGCAAAACAATATATAGCTTCTTTGGGATTTTTTTGGGATCCATTTTTTTGGAGTATTTTTCTTTATAAAGTTACGTGAGCATTTTACTCCAAATAATCAACAAAAATCCTGAATCGAATAGTTAAAAATCGCATTAACTGGTTTCTTGAATGAGCAGTGCCACTGTTGTTAGTCTTTGGGGAATTTAAGCAAACACATGGTGAGCATAATATAAAAAGTTTAAGAGAGTTCACCTCCTCAGACGTCTCACAATCCTCTTCCAGCAAACGTTTCCTTTTCCAATTTCTCTTATGTGTTGCCTGTCTTTAGGACGAAAATCAACGAAATCAGAAAATGAAAAAGAGGATCCTGCAATCATAAATCGTAAATCAACATGTGAAACTAAAACATCAGATGGATTTTCAGTAATTTGTTTACCCATCATCTTCACCGCCACCCAGTAGCACCCCTAGCCCTCGATATCAACCACCGGTCACCACCTCCATAAATCTTCAATATTCATCCTGGTTCACGCACACAAAGACCAAGAAACCCCACCACCATAGCCGATACCCTCAAAGTAGAATAAAACATTACCTTCAACTCGTTCTGAATATGCCACCAAGAAGGAACATTCGCAAAGGAAATAAGAAAAAACAGAGGTGAACAGTTACGGTGGCGCTCAATCGGATACTGTTGTATGCCCTGATGTCAGCCAAGAAACTCCGCTTTCAATGTCCGATATGACCAGCCAATTAAAAGGGTTTCGAGGGAGAGAGACGTAAGGAAGAGTGAAGAAGAAAGAAAGAGGAAGTAAGGAAAAGCGAAAGAAAGAGTATTGGAGGAGGAGGGCGGCGTCATGGAAATCGGAAAAGGGAAGTATTATTGTGGCTGAAATTGAAAAAAAAAAGTTCTGTAGCAAAACAGGAAAGAGAATAAAGTATCCTGTAGCCCAACTTTTTATATACAAAAGAAAACCTTTCGTCCCATATCCCCTACGGAGAATAGCTTATTTAGGGTTTTATAAACACTGTTCGAACTTCAAAGTCGCCGGACTTGGTTACGCGAGTCGGAGGGATGTTGAAAGGGGGACACAGGCTATATGGAGGTTCTTCAAGAGCAATCCATCTTGAAAGAAGGTCAAGTCGGGGCTCTAAAGTTTCGCGGCGGTGCATTTATTTGCACGGCGGTTTTCAGTCTTTGAACGGTGTCGGTTAGGATCCACGGTATAAATAACTGAGACTTTGGGGGACCGAGTTGTAACCACCGTGCGCTGGTGGCGGCGACCTCTTGAAGAGCGAGCCACTAGAATATTTGTTTCCATCCAGACCTGTAAACTAACAACGGGAAACGGTGGCGTATGAGCTGAATTATCAGAGCACAGCAACCGGCACACTATTGACTGTCTAAGGTGCGAACCCTTCTTACTCTTGGCCTGATGCTTCCGTTGTAACATTGTCCTCAAAATCATCTAAACCCCCACTCCCATCTTTTTCAATTTGATTCTTATAGCTTTCTTGTTGTGCTTGATTACGACTTGTGTTGAATTCTGCAATTGAATCCATTTTAAGACGAATTAGGTTTATGATTTGTGTTTGAATCTTTTTCTTAAACCATCAAACTTGTTTTATTATTTGTAACATGAACAATCAACATTGATTTGGACCTTTTTCCTTTTCCTTCTTCTAATGATGCATACATTATACGCCCTGCATTAATTGGATTAGTGAAAGGACAAAATATGTCTTAAAATGGAGTTAGTTAACAGGATTTTGTGTAGTTTTTTATTGGAAAGTTTTACCTTCTGTTGAGTAATCTTAAAAGTTCCTATATTGTTATAATCTGATATTTTATAATCCTTGTAGTTAGTTTCTCAAAGTTGGTTACTATTTTGCTGGTGACTTCTAAAGTATACCCCATCTTATAGGATCAATGTTCAAAGTTCATGGGATGAATTTTGACTTTCAATGTTAAATATGTTGTTTTCCTTCATTTTATATCATTTTTTACTACATGTGCTTTAGGATTTGAAACCACATTCGGATCTGCTAACCTATGTCAATCAAGATTGTCATTAACATAATCATAATAATTAATGGGCATGAAAATTTTACAAAAATCTACTCTTTTAATCAAAATATACAGGTAATAACAATCTAGAAATGTCAAAATAAGTATGTACTACAAAATGTTGCCATGGTGATTATTGTTTGGGAAAGTTGTATCATTCGTCTATATTTGCACAAAGGTTTCCTCAAATTTTGACTCTTATGCATCTACTGTCCATTCCAACTTAATGAGAGCCTTTGGTATGAGTAGCTTGTCTATTACTTCTCATCAAAGCCATTAAAAAAATCGGGACCCTCTTGCTAGTAATCAATACAAACTTAATTAATTATTTAACTTAATAAGCAATTTTTGATAAAAGTGTTTATTAGCTTATGAGGTGACAAAAAAAAAGTTTCTAAAAAGGTGTTTCGATTAGCTTATGTGGTGGTGCCAAGAAGCTATAAGTTGATAAGTTTTTTTAGAGTGTTAAGATTAACTTATGGAGGTATTATAGTCATTTTAAGTGAAGAAGTCATAAGAGCTATTTGGCAGGATCTGAATTTTAGGAGGTATGAAGTTCTAAGAAGGTTTGAATTTTCAACATATTGGTTGGTTGTTTGGTTGGAACCTCTGAATTGCTGTGTTGAATTATAACCATTTTACCCTTATGTATTATTTTTTTGTTGAATTCAATATTTATGTTTATAAAATAACCTAACCAACTTCTTGAATAATTATAATTATAAAAAATATATATAAACACCATTCAAAATCCAAATTAAACATAAATCATATAAATAAACACAAATCCAAATCAAACATAAAATTTTCAAATTCACAAAATCATACTAAAATCCAAATAAAATCCTACAAATTTAATTTGAAGCATCTAAAAATAATTGATTCACAATCTGGTCACACAAATTAGTCATGTATTCGTTGCCTTGTGAACCCCATTCAACCATTCCATGTCGTGTATGTTTTGGCCGCCACTTACTCCCTCTTGTGCTCAACCTGTGTTTTCCACGGACGCCATAAATAATTGATCATTACTGCATTTCCTTATGAAATTATAGACTGCGAAATAAGCAACGACTATGTCTATTTTGCATTGAAAAACTATAAGGAGTCATTTGCTTTAGGATTGAGAATCTCTCATTCAAAACACCATAAGCTCGCTCAAAATATCATTACCAGGTTGTATGTGTGCATGATTGAATCTTTCCTCCTTAGTTGATGCTCGTCGTCGTCGATAATCAGATAATCAATACCTCGTGTTGCGGTAAGGAGTCATAAATCCACCTCCTCTGTAACGAGTTTGTTAATCAGCATTTGTTAATCAGTAGGCACGATTGCATGTATGCGACTTCCATCTAATTGTACCTATTACTCCAAGAAATATTTCTTTTAGCATTTTATGATGTTTTTGGAATTTACGGTCGCCACTATAATTTTTTTTTTGCAAAATCATCATTGCATTTCAAACCTCATGAAAATATCTATGAAAAGTTTTTGTGGAATGTTGGATGTCTTATAATTGTGAAGAACATAACCATCTTTTTTTTTCAACACTTATATGCCTAATATTTTGCAACCAATAATTACGTCTAAAATGATTGTGTATAAAGGTACATATGTTTCACGTGAAAGACGCATCATCTCATAACAAAGTGTATAATTTCCATGTAACAATTCTTGTGTGTATGAATGACCGCCCAATTCTGAATTGTTTTTAATTGCCACTACTAGAAAAACAGCCTTTTACGACGCTCAATGTCACACCCCCAAACTGGAACGGCGGAAACGTTCGGGGGTGGAGGACATCATGTCAAGTATCACAACACATGCATTATAGTAATCAATGTAACAACAACCATCGTATTGATAATATAATATTTACATTATGTTCAAAACATTACTTGAAATACATAAAAAGTACAACAAAAGATAAGACGTAAAACTCTATCTTCGCAACACCTGGAAGAGAGTACCTGTTTATTAACGACCCTGAGATTACAAGTGGTTTGAAAAAGCGTCAACATTAAAGTTGGTGAGTTCATAAATATTTTTATTATAGAAAGTATATTCTTTATCCTTTTGAAAAGTTCGCCAGTTCCTCCAGAAAATCCTATATTTTCTGTTGTTAAATGATAAGTAAAACAACTCATGATTGATTCTTCTACGAGTACTTAGTGAATACAAGTCATATACATTCAGATCGAATAGATAGTCGACTGTGTAGTTCTGCCCCAAGCCCACAACCAAACAAGAAACAGGAAATGAGGCAGAATCCACACATCTCACTATCTGTCGGATCCTTATGTATCAAACCCTGACGTATTCACTAAGTACTTTTAATAATCCTTTAATTTGAAAACGTTCCTTAAGAAAATCCTATATTTTCTTAATAAGTAAAATGACTGTAGTTAACCCTTATGTAATCATTCGGTGAATACTAATTATATATAATACAGATCGATTAGACAGTTGAATGTGTGATTCTGCCCTAAGCCCACAACCAAACAAGGAACAGGAAATGAGGCGCAAGTCACACATTCCACTGTCTACCGGATCTTTATTATATATAGTAAATACTTCGAATGAGAGATCCTACCCTACAACGGTTGGACTCAAACAAGAGCTGCGCAATAGAGCTAGACCTAACCTTCTGCAATTATTTAGTTCTCGCAATATGTAACGTAACATATTCACTTTCCAGTTAGTAAAAGATAACTAAGACTCCTAAAAGCACAAAACAAGCAGCATTCGAGCATCGAGTAAACATAATCAAGCATATCTCTTTCAAGCTATCCCTGACTAATCTGTACTAGCATGCAGTTCATAAAGCTGAGATATATATAACAGACACATAAGACATCCTTCCTAGATCCTTAGTCCTAACTAGCATGCAATTCTCATAAAGTAGATACAGATATAATAGGCATATAGGGCATCCTTCCTAGATCCTTGGTCCTAATTGATGTGTGTAAAACGAACTAGTTTTATTCCTACTTTTTAATTATGAATTTGACACACAAAAGGCAGTGGACCTGTCAATTGGCGGTATAATTTAGCAAGCAGGGTATCGAACTCAAGGAACAGAAATTAATCTAACTACTAAGATTATCTAAAACAAATAATAAAATAGAAGGGTTTTCTCTAGTTTTGCAAGACTAGAAACTTAACTAAAACTTAACAAAAAAAATGCAAATAAATTCAATAATAAAGAGGACTTCTGTTTAGGTTCGAATAATTTGATCCTATGGTTGATTTTATGGTAAATATATCAGATTAACTTTTCATTGGCTACCGATTAGGATGATTAGGTTCACGTTCGCTATTGCTAATCCTTAGAAAACAGATTAATTCAAGTAGTGGCCAGTTGTCTAAATTAATGAGTTCCCTAGTTAATTAATTCGGGTTAAATAAGACTTGTAATGGTTAATTAAATTAATAATTCACTTAACCTCTTGTTGATGGTTTATCACACAAGCTCACACATTAATTTACCTATTTTCTAATTAATCCTAGTTTCACGTTCGCTGTTCCTAGGCATATAACTATGTTGTCACATAAATCACATGAGGTAAGCAATTAAGAGATGTTCATGCAACTTAACTACTTGTCAATTAACAGAAAATAGTTATGGTTAATGCATAAGGTACTTTAACAAGCTTAACAAAACAATATCACCAAATTATATTAATCCTAACCATAAAATCAATCCATATTCACAAAATCATCTACCCTAAACAGAAGACAAACGATTTAGTTCATAATTGCAGTAACAATCAACTCAAAAACGAAATTCATAAGTTTAAACATGATTCAATCAAAGGTTGAGTAAGAATACACTTGAATTGCCTTTAATCTTCCCAAAATCGAATGCTTAGACTTGATCTTCGAGTTTCTGGAGTTCCAGCAGTGCCTTAATCGCAGCCTAGCTTTCAAGGGTTTTTCCCAGAGCTCCTCAATTCGGGATTGTGACTCCTATTTATAATATTTGGAAAACAGAGTCTACTCATCGAGTAGAAAACCGACTCGCCGAGTCTCTTCGTAGAATCCGTATGCGACAAGGACTTTGTGTATTGCTTCGCGAACCTTCGTGGGTACTCGTCGAGTAGACGTCCCTACTCGCCGAGTAGCTTCAGAATTTGACTCTTTTTTTCTTTCTTCAGTTCCCGAGCTTCCGATCGCATCTCCTGCTAATCTAACATGCTGTTCTCATAAAGATGATAATCATAACATAACATAAACTTGTATGGGTAATTTGGGAGTACTTACTTGAGCTCGGCTGATTGAATGCACCACACCCTTTTCTCTTTTCCAAAGTTCTTTTCTCTAAAAAAAATTCATTTCTTTTTCTCAAGTCCTTTTTATAAAAATGATTTTCCTTTGAAAATTTTC